AGCACCCACTTTGAGCCAGAAGCTGTACTTGGGAGAAGAGTCAGTAGTTTTAGGAGTGACGAGTGTCCCCAAGGAGAAGGGCAGGGAGCTAGCAGTGCAGTGGGCAGAGCCAGAGAGGCTTCCTGCGCAACGTGACTTGAGGTAGAGAGTTGAAGAAGACTCTGAGTTACCCCAAGGAAGTGGAGAAGTGAGAAGGCGTGCCAGGCAGAGGGAACAGCACCTGCTGGAGCACTCATGGGAAAGAGGGTGGGATGAGAAGCTAGAGAAAGCCCTATGGATGAAGCAGAGAGAGGAGGCGGCCACCCCATGAGGAGCTGGGTTTTCACCTCAAATGCAAGCAGGAGAAACTCAGGGGGATTTTTCTTTTAAATACCTTAATTAAGGTATCATTTAAATAACACAATATCTACCCATTTTACATGCACAGTTTGATGAGCCTTAGTAAATGTACACAGTTGTGCAACTATCTTCACGATCTAGTTTTAGAAGACTTTTATCACCCCCAAAATTTCCTTGTACCCACTTGCTGTCAATCCCATTTCCAGGCTCTGACCTGCTTTTGCTTCTTTAGTTTTGCCTTTTCTAGAAATTTCATGTGAATGGAATCATTTAATATGTATCTTCTGTGTCTGGTTTCTTTCACTTAGCTCATTTTGAGGTTCATCCACGTTGTTGCAGACATCACTAGTCCTTTGTAAAATTGCTGAACAGTGTCCTATTGCATGGATACAACACATTTGTTTATACATTTGTCAGTTGAGGGACACCTGAATTGTTTCCCGTGTTTACTATAGTGAATTATGCTGCTGCAGATGTTTGTCTACAAGTCTGAGTGGACATATGTTTTTATTTCCTTTTAATAGACATCTAAGAGTGGATTGCTAGATGGATTTGAACTATTTTAGTGGGCATAAAATGGTATCTCATGGTGGTTCTGGTTTGTATTTCTCTAATGACTAATGGTGTTAAGCACCTTTTCATGTGCTTATTATATTCATCTATGTATCTTTTTTGGTGAAACATCTTGTTTGGGGACTTGCTTGAAGGACTCACAGACCTCAGAGGCAGTTGCATCCACACAACGGTTATCATAATGAAACACCACGGCAACAGGAGGAAAGGCACATAAGGTAGAGTCTGGAGGTGTCCAGGTGCAGGCTTTTAAAGTTCTCTCTTCTGGGGTGGGGTTTGCACTGAACATGCTTCTCTCCCCAGTGGTGAAATGCAGCAACAGTGCATGTTGTTTCTGCCTGGGGGCCTTGCTTGAGACTCGACATCCAGAGTTTTTTGTGGGCTAGTGATGGAGGCACTCTTCTGCCACACGACCAAGGGTGATTACTGAAATTCCAAACTCCTAGAAGAAAAGCACGTGTGCACCATAAATCATACTGTTTGTACAAACAGTTTAGGCAAGCTGGTACTGTAGGATTCAGTGCCCTGGGAAGACAAAACAGCCTTATCAGTTAGAAACAGAGGTGACATTCCAAAAGCCAGGTTCTCAGATGCCAGGCAAGGGCCAGCTGCACAGGCAGACCCTTCTACAGAGCAACATCAGGCCTGCTGTGTTCTCCTCTCCCACACATGTCTAGTCAAATCTTTTGGTCATTTTTTTAGTTGGGTTGTTAGTCTTATTTTTGTCATCAGAATTCTTTATATATCCTGAGTTTAAACTGTTTATTAGATACCCATTTTGCAATTTTTCCCCCCAGTCTGTGGCTTATCTTTTCATTTTCTTAATGTCCCTTGGAAGGAGTTTGGGAAGGGAAGTAATATGACCAGATTTGCACACACATACAGCTGCCCTACCTGCTATGTGGAGAATGGACTGCAGGGGTCAGGACTGGATTGGGGCGTCCTGTTAGGAGGCTGTTGCGTGATCCAAGTGATAGATGATGGTGTTTTGGATGGGGAGGTGACAGAAGGGATGGAGAAAAGCAGCTCCATACAGGGGGTGTATAGAAGGTAGGGCTGAGATGGCATGCACTCCACACATTATAGATTTTCAACAGGGGAACAGAAAGGAGGCCTCCCCAAACTCATCCACAGAACACATTATTATTATTCTTTCTAGTAGTGAAACTCTATTCATTTGTGGGATTTACATATTTGATAATTTGGAAATGTGGGACAAGATGAATCTGAAGGTTCCCTCTAGTCCTCACAGTCTGTGGTGCCATGAACAATCCTTTATGAGGTTATTTTAACAATACTAAAATATTCTGAGGCGTGTGCCTAGGTGCATGATTACAGATTGTTTATTAGTCACGCATGTATATATATATTATGCCAATTTTTGATCCAAGAAAATAACTTCATGACTGAAATTGAACACAATCTATTCATGAAGATCCTTGCAGAAACAGAGGGCAGAAACATTGTTAGCATAGAAAGTGTGAGGATGGGGATAAGGAAATTCATATTCATGTATTAACCCAATTACCAAATGTACCTTGCAAATCTGGAGCGCTGTTGGTTTAACATGGGATTTCACATCATTCTGTCCCAAGTGACATAGACAGTATTATAAATGAAAAATCCTTTCCTCAGGCTAGGATATAGAGCTCCTCTCACTTGGGCAGTACATGCGATCACAGGAGAACCTTTATTTAAGGCTGGAAATTCTATTTACTCAGGAGCCCAAACCACTGTTTTTCTGTTCTTGCAAAATAAACAAAACACCCTGGCAAAGTAGATGCAGAAAAGACCCGAGGGAATGGAAAGGAATGTGGAATCAGGTATGCAGGTCAGTGTCAACACAATAAATCAGGAGCACAGCAGTGATACATATATTTCTCTTCTGATGCTAAAAAAAGGCTACATGAATCAATGAGATAAAGTGAGAGTACAGAAATTAAGATATATAATGTTTTATTTATAGATGTATTTAATGAAGTAGGTTTTGTGGTTCTATTGTTTTATTTTAGAAAGAGACAACATAAAGGCTCAGAAGTGGATGTTATGCCTGGTGGGGGCTGCATGATGCACACATGGATCAGGGAGATGATGACATCACCTCCAAACCTGGTTGGACCTGGTGCCCTGAGCCTATGGAGAGGCTGGACAGGGGCAAGGGGGCTTCAGACACCTGCTGTCAGGTGCATGATGCAATAAGGTACCCCTTCTCCAGGAAGTGATGATAAATCCAGCTCAGCATGCTGCCCATTTTGGCCTCTTCTGCCTCAAGGCCTTTGCATGTGATGTTCCCTCTTCCTGAAAGCCAGCTGCCTCCACCTATCCCCAGATCTTGTGAACTCCCCCTTCAGGTCTCAAATACATCGTCACTTCCCTTCTGTCTACACTGTCATCAGGGCAAATGGCGAATCCATTTTAGAGAGTCAAAACCTTGTACAATTTGGAAGGCCCTTTTCCAGAAATAAGAATAAAAATTATTGATTTGAAATTAGAGATCCATATAATTAGGGCCCTTTCTGGGACCCTGGAAACAAAGATCCTCTGTCCCTGGGGAGCTTCCAGTCTGGCTAGACGTGTACTGGATCCAAAGAAGGCTGGGTAGGCTGAGGTCAGAAGCACTCGGAGTCTTAGAAAACCAGAACCAGAAGATACTTTGGAGGTGTCTGATTAAATCTCCCATTTTAGAGGCAGGGAAACAGAGGCTCACAGTGGGGGAAGGGAGTTAGTCAAAGTCACACAGCTTGCTGTGGCAGATTTTGGACTAGGCTGTCTGATTCTCAGGGTCCTTAGGGACCTCTTGGAGTGCAGAGTTCATTTAGGGTGAGGAATGGCTGGCAGCTTCAGTGGTTGCAGGGATCAAAATCTGCTCCTCACCCTGACCTTGCTGGATCCAGAAAATCCTGATTTCCTACTTCACTTCATGACACATATGCGAACACTGAGATGTTTTGCAGGAGGGGGGAGAAAATAGATTCTTCCTAACAGGCTCTTTGTTTTTCTGCATGACTAAACCTGTAGCAAGGATGAACCAGAGTAAAACTATGGAGATGTAAATTCTGAATGCATTCAGTCATGTGATCAGCAAGTATAATGAGTAAACCCAAACAGAGTTAGGCCAATCAAAATCTTTCCCTAATTTGGGAGCAGAATGACAAATCCTGTATGCACATGAGGTCCCTATTCTAATATTTCAGAGACCACCCTGAAAAGAGCTATCGGCCCAGTGCTTTCTTTTAGAAGGCCATTTGTGTGGCACCAAAAAGCAATTGCTTCCTCCATTCCTACTACCTGGAAACACAAACTTTTAAATTCATGCCAGTTCGACTAGAACAGTAGCAAATTTCATGGAGCAGCTAAAAAGAAGAGCAACAGCTGGTACATCAGGCATTAATAATATAACAAAGGAAGAAAAAAGAGAAACTTTTCATTAGTACTTTTTGATGGCAATTTATTATTTATCCCTTTGCCAGTATTCAAACAGACAGGCAGTCATAAAACATTAAAAAAGATCCTTTAAAACAGTCAGGCATCTGTTTTACCTCAGTTCCTTTTTAGAAACCTGGAAACCAGGAGCCCCGGCTTTTATACTATAGCAAGTTTGACACTTGCTATATCAAAAATACTGCTTGAGGATCACTACGTAGAAAGAGTTTTGTTTAAATTTTATGAAAGGCTGGTGAGGCAGGCAGGCGATGGTTTGTAAGGCAAGATCCAATGTAAATCAGCGATGTGTGGTTTCCAACTGTTTGACTCCTCAGTTCATATTCTGAAACCAGGGCGTTGACAAAAACCCACTGTTCAGTAATTAGCATCCTGTCAAATCTTTCCAATCAAGACTAGCATGCTGCACCTGGTCCTAGTTAAAAAACGCATTGTGGGCAATTCTGATCTGACCCTCAGAGGCCCCTGCCATGCTCAGAACTGCATTCAGTGTGTACGCCATAATTACCATCCACACAAAATAAGTAGGCCTCCTTGTCCAGCAGCTCTGAGAGATTCTGCCTAATCCTAATGACCTGCCACACCATTTTAACTTCTTTGATAAATGTCTATCCTTGTGATTTAGACCTTTCCTCTCCTGCAAAGAGGAAGTAGAAACATTGTAGAAATAAAGCAAATGAAAAATGGAGAAGCAAAAACCAAAGTAAAACAGAAACCTTAACCAGCCCTATCCTCAGCAGGAGCTTGCTGGAGGAGGTGTGGGTCGAGTGCCCCCTCCCTAGCTTGTCTTGCCCTCAGCGCTCTGGGTGCTTTTGCCTTTCCAGGCACTGTCCTTGGTGTAGAGGCCATGGTCCTTGATGTAGGTGATGACAGCATCGGGGATCAGGTACTTTACGCTCTGCCCTTGGCCCAAAGCTCGCCTGATGTACGTGGCACTGATCTCATTCTGCACGGGCTCCTTGGCCAGGTGAATGTTGTGCTGGTGCATCCGTAGGATGGGAGATTCTGAGATGTACCCTTTTGGGTCGTGACCTGCCCGGCCCACGCACACCAAGCCAAACTTCTCCACTATTTCCTGGATGTGCGCATCCTTCCAGAGGTTGGGGGTCTGGAAGGTCTTCAAGATGTCTGCCCCGCAGAGAAGCTTCAGCTCAGGCACAGCTGCAAAAACAAGGATGGACCCAGTAAAGTTACAGAAGCGTCACTGCCAGGAAAGACAACATCATATTCTGTTGGAAAGTCTCACAAAATGCTTTTCTTGGAATGTATCGAGAACTCTGTCTCCACGTTCATGACTTGAAAAGAAAAAGCATGTAAATGAATCTGCAGCTATTTCAGGGAATACAGTTGTAAGTAATGATTTAATCAATACACCTTTTGTTTAATATTGGAAAAGTGCCAACTAATACCAATTTTTTTTTTCCAGTGTTCTAACAGAAGTCTGTCTGTGGTTGCTTTGGACCAAGGCAGAGTGCTCTAAAGGTGGCTGTGCTGTACCTAGTACTGTGTCTTCTGATGGAAAGTAACGTTCTGAAAGCCCTGAGACCAACAAGCTGTGGGCCTTGGACAAGTCACTGCCCTATTTGAAATCCATTTCAGCCCTTGTGTTACTAGGAACTAGTACCTGGCACTTTAATATAAAAATCTCACTATAAAGATGAATTATAAAGGCTCTTTGGATAACCAAAAGGTCTCTAAGACTCCAGCTGGTGGCCTTTTCATTGCAGTTTCCAATCAAACAAAGCTCTAGAACAATGCTTAATGTGGATAATCCTTTGGAATGTGTTCTAACAGAATGCTAATTGTGATAATAAAATCATACATAACATTTATTGGGAGATTACTATGGGCACTACTACTAAGCTGTTTATGTGGATAATACCATATGCACCCCAGAACAATTTATGAGGTGAGTATTGTTGTGCCCATTTTATGGAGGGGGCAACTGAGGCAGAGACAGATAAGTGACTTGCTTGAGGTCACTCAGCTAGGCAGAGAAGTCAGGAGTCACACTCAGGCAGCCATCCTCCAGGTGGGCAACTGCTGGGTTCTGCTGCTGCCTGCTGGTGGGAATCTGTACTTGCATTATACTGGAGAAGTCCTTCCTAGAGACCCAGACTGATTTTCCTGGCACTATCTGTGTCCCTCTTGGTGAGCTAATCAGCAAAGGAAATCCACGTTTGTGCTAGAAACAAGCTGCAGGGTCTCTGATTCTTCCAGAAGCTGATTGCAGCTTCAGCAGATGGCAAAGACTGGGGTCCCAGAGCACTGGCACCTGTCAGTCGCACAAAGTCTCAGTAAGTAGAGGCTCCAGGGCTACCATACTGGGGAAAAACTTGGTGTAAATGGTCAGTTTGGGATCCTCTAAGGTGGAACCTTTGAAGGAATCCAAACGTGGACCAGAGAGATGAGTTCACACAAAAGCACTGGAGTGACTGTGGATTGGAAAGGGAGAGACTGGAGGTGTCATGGAGAGGTCTGAGTCCTGGCCTCAACTGGGCACAGGCTGCTGTGCGGCTGGAGCCAAGCCCTTTCTTTCTCTGGGTCTCAGTTTCCATGAGATGATGAGCTCTGGACTCATTTAAAGCAACATATGCAATCACAGAAACACACTTTTCAGATGCTCTAGCAGCATAATACTGGTCTAGTAAGTGATATTCAAACATTCCTTCATTCACGCATGTATGAACTCTTAGCGGTTACAAACTAAGACTCTAGATCCAGACACCTTAGATCCAAATTCTGGTTCTGCCATTCGATACCCCTCATGCGATCTCAACTTTAAAATCAGGATATTACGCTTCATTTATTCATTCACTTATCCATTTACTCATTTATCTACCACTCTATTCATAGAAACACCCACTCAACATTTATGAATTATCTCCCAGTGTCTGGCCTTTTTAAACCAATAAAATTACATTTAACAATTATTTGGTAACACACTTTTCACTAATTTGGGCTGGTCCCATTGCTCACAACATAATGTGTATTTGAACTGTTCTGCATCTGTGAAGTTTTACTCCAATTTCTTATCTATCCAACCAGTGTAGTACAAAGAACTACGTTTGGTCTTTCAAACAATTAGGTAGTTTTATGTGATCTTCCTATGGGGAAGGTACTATGATGTGCATTTCATTCCAAGTTCTGCTGGGGCCTGGGACACATCCCCTCTCTTCCTACAGGTCAGAGAACAGAGAAGATACCACCTTCTTTTTCCAATAGATTTTTTTTGTGGGGACAGTTTCTGCATGTCAGGTTCAATATTTGGTACTGTTTGATTCATTAACAATGACAGTAAGGAATACTATTCACTTTGAGCCTTGCCTAGAAGGAACAAGTGCCCACACCTCCCCTGCCCCCCAAATCAAAGGCATATCTGTGAGGCTGGCGGTGCCTGTTATTCCATGATGACAATACCATGTGATAGATCACTTCTCAGGCAACATGGGCCGCAGACCTCCAACTCCTGGCAGTCCTGTCTTCAGGGCTCAGAAAGGCATTCACACATCTCTTCCAAATCCATTTACAACAAGGTTACAAAAGTTTTAGACTGAGTGATTCTATCCAAGTCCAAAGTATGTAACTCCAGGGTGTAGCATAAAGAAAATCAATATGATTTCTCCTAACAGTGATACAGATACATAAACAAACAGGATGTCCGTGGGCATTTTGGGGGCAGTGTGCTCTACCTTTGAGTAGCTAAGGGCTTTGAAAGGCAGATAAAGCTGAAATTTACATAGACTGTGAGGGAAGTGCCACTAGGATCTTTGAAAGTTTGGTTGTCCTAAGTCTGTGAGATCAAAGAATACCAATCTTGAGGTCAGTCAGCTCTGGGTTCAAGTTTAAATCTGCTGGTACCCTCAGGAAAATTACTTAGCCTATATGCCTATTTCTTCAGCCATAAAATGGGGATAGTAAAGCTTTCTTTAGAAGTTATGGGAATTGAGCGATGGAGAGAATGCAATGTAAATTTCCTGTCTGGCACAGCATGTGAACACTGCCACCAACAGCGATGTCTGTCATGGTACCTCACAGACACACTTAGAAATGTGGGACTTCTGGGTCTAAACAGGACAAGAGAGATGAAGCATCTGACAGGCAGCACCTAAATTTACCATACAAGGCCACCTTGGAACATTCAGTATAAAACGGAAACAGATAAAGGGCTTGCTCTGTTGGGAGAGGGAATCCTCTGAATGTGGCCGAGCTGTGCTCAGTTCCATCAGCCATGGGCGGGGGCCACCTTCACAAAAGACAGACAGAGTCAGCTGTGAAAGAAATGGAGGCATCATCCATCCCAAAGTGTCACACCCAAGCAGCCCAGAATGTAGCAATCCATATGACTCTGGGTGAGCCCAAGGAGGCCTGCAAATCACAGGAGTGATGGGCAAAGCAAGGCTCTGGCAGCCAGAAATTGCTGAGCTCATCATGTAATTTGCAACCCCAGAGTATAACAGCACACCAATAGAATACACAACACACAAAATGGTCCTTTAGAAATATGTCACTAGTAACACACATGCCATCTCATCAAAAGCCAAACTTATGCTGAGAAAAATTCTACCTTCCTGTTTTTAATTGCTCTACATTTTACCCCAATTACAAACATCAAACTGTGTTCACTATGGAACATATGGAAAATATGCAAGTACTTAAAGCAGAAATAATAACAGCAATAATTCTGCTTTCAATAAAACACCATAAGTTTTTAGCGTATTTCCTTAGTCTTTTCTATTTAGACATGCAAACAGATGTGAAAGTATAGTCATATTTTTATATACTTGAGATTATATGCAGTATTGTATCCTGATTTTTTCCACTTCCTTCATAAGTGTTTCTCCACACCATCAAAACCTTTTATGTAGTTTCTTTATCCTATGTATACAGTAAAACTTTCGTATACTTTCCTTTACATTTAAACATTGAGATTGCTTTCACTTCCTGCCATTGTAAAAACTGTTGTGATAAACATCTTTCTGCATAAATAATTGTCCCAATCTCTAATTATTTCCTTAGCCAGATTTCTAGAATGGGAATTTATCAAGCAGAGTGCAAGGATTTTTAAAGTCCCTGATATATTTTGGTAAACTGAAAAACAGTTTTCATTTCATGTAAACTTCCTTTTTTTAAAAAATAGTTACTTTAGAATAGAACAAGATGAGTGGGATTTAGGGTCTGAAAAGAGAGAAAGAGGCCCTCAACAATACAGGGCCAAGCAGAGTAAGTTGGTAGCCCCTAGAAAAATGAATCTGGAAAGAACCTGGGGTGGGCTTTGGCAGAGGGAGAGAGCTCATATTAATGAGAGCAGCGGGGGCTGGTTCCACAGGGAAGGTGAATTCTGAACTGGGCCTCACAGACAGGTTTTCAATAGGGCAACAAAGAATTAAGAGGAAGGAGGGGCAGGCCAGGCAAAAAGCTGAGACAGGGATTCTGGAAGCATACGCAGAGAAGCGAAGTGTGAGAGGATGGGAGCCTCAGTGTGTTGTCCCTCCTGAGTCACTCTGGCTGCCCCTGCCTCTCACTGGAGGCTCCAGTCTGCCCCAGTGACATGGAGTGCCTCACACTTACGCCATCTCCCACCCTTGTGCTTTCCTTGGCCTGCCTCTTGGCCCAGAAATGTCTCCAACCTCAATAATCCAGTCATCCTGCAAGTCTCAGTGCAGGTGCCCCCTCTTCCATGCAGCCTTCCTAATTCACGCCTGGACTCACCTCCATTCATACCCTGTCTCCAGCTTGGGATGGGGGCTGGGGCTGGCTGTCTCTGTTCTCAGCCTGAGCCCAGAGTCTCTTCCAGTGAGGTGCTCAGAAAGTGTCTGTAGAATCTTTTAAGAATGCCTGCTGAGTCAGAGATGATGCAGAAAGAAGGGAGAGGCTAATAATGAATACTGGGCACTGTGCTTATGGGGGATGGGTGGGAAGGAGCCCATGCAGGTAACGGAGAGGACAGGCAGACAGAGAGACCAGTGGAATGCAATAAACATTATATGAGATGATTATATAGGAGGTACTGTAACTCCTTCTTAGATTCTTACTCTCATGCACAGTCCCCCAGACTGGCTGTAAAGCAAATCCTCAGAGTGCTTATTAAATATCCAGATTCCTGGGCCCTACTCCCACTCAGAAGGTCTGGGAAGACACCTGGGAATTAGTGCTTTTAACAAGCTGCACAGGGGATACTGCTGTGAGTGATCCTTTGGCCAGCATTTGGGGACTGTTGCATGGCACCTTTAGGGCCTGGTAGCATTTCCAAGTCTTTTTAGAAGAGTGTTTCCCAATCTTGCTCTAGGAAGCGCTAGTTCTGAAAAATACTAACAGATATTGAACAAAGAGTTCCATACTTAAAAAAGTGGTAAGAATGACTGCAAGGTATTTCTCTTTCCTGTAGAATCACAATGCCCATGGACATAGTAAAGGCTCTAAAAAGTCCTGCAGTAAAGAAACCACATTAGGTGTGCTAAACCTCGGCATTCCTAAACTCTTAATCTGGAAGCAGTGTTCCACCAACCAAAGTCTGGAGACCCTGCCATAGGAAATTCTGCAGATGACCTGCTGGAATCTGCACGCCCACCGCTGCATGGTGCTCCTGCTTATTTGCATGAGAGCGTTATGCATTTTGCCCCTGACACCAGGGCAGCTCACACGGTGAAATCACAGCCAACAGGGTTTTATCAAACACCAGGAAATGACAACACTTCCTGGCTTACACGTCTAGGCTTACAAATTAAGAGGATAATCCAAACCAACTTTAAATTCCCTTAAAAATAGGTTTCCTCTTTTGAGTGAACCATTGAGTAATTCTGCTATAAATAAAGTCTTAGTCTCTTTGTTCAAGTTTTATAATGGCATATTTTACATTCAAAAAGGCTAAGGCTTTTAAAAGAAACCCAGCAGCACTCATCAGTTTATCCCTGTGTGACCCTGACTATAATCCATGTCATTAGAACAAGTCACAAGGGTAGGTAAACTTCTTTGGGGCAAAAAATCCCAAATTAGCAGAGCAATTTACAGGGGGTGGTGGCAGATTGTCTAATCTGAACTTCAACCTCGGAAGTGTCATCCCAACCAGGCAGGCCTTCAATTCCTTATCTGTGCCCAGAGGGTTGGACTCAAGTTCTCTGCAGCTGTGACCACCCCTATCCGCTTCAGTTCTCACAGAATCCCTGACGTCTCATTCTCCTACAGACAAGAGGGTCGGCACCCACCTGCAGGGGTTGGGGAGAGTGCTTTGCCATGGTCTGGGCCTTCCATCTGGGGTGGAGATCTGAGCAGTTCGCTGTGATGATGCCTGCGTTGTAAACATATGGGCTCAGGGTATGTCTGTCCTCCAGCCCTCAAAACCACCCAGGGATTTTCAGATTTTGTCTCAACCTGCTTTTATATACTTTAGTTCACTCATTCCACAAATAACTGTCGAGGGCCTACTCTGTGGCAGGCATTGCCAGGTGCTGGGACAGAAAGCCATGTGGGTCTTCACGGAGAGTCCTGTCCAAGACAGTCCACTACTTTCCATGTGACATGGGTGAAGGCAGGGAAATTAGTACATTTCTACTCTTTTAACATTTTCTTCAATATTTCTCAAAAAAAAAAAAAAAAGAAGGAGTCACTGTTGAGTAGGGGTTAAAGACATGCCTATTAGAATCAGACAGACTTGAATTCAAGACACATTTTCATTTGAGAAGCAGGGATAACAACACCTGCTTTTAGGCTCTTGTGAAGGTGAAGGAGACACACACATTTTGAAGCACTGGCACAGTGCATGGCCCACAGCTAGCTCCCAGAAAAGCTGCCTGCTCTCATTAGGAACTAGTACTTTAGAAGGCAATAGGGTGACGGCCAAGAGCCAGGGCTTGCAGCCAGATGGCCTGGGTTGAATCTCAGCTCCTCCACCAGCTGGCTGTGTGACCCTGGGTGGGTGATTTCAAGTCTCTATGTGGATGGTGCTGCATCTGCCAGTGAGGAATTATGACAGTGCTCACCTCTGATGGGTGGTTATGAAGATTAAAGGGGTTAATACACACGAAGTGCACTGGGCATTTCAAATATGATTAGACTTTCACAAATTTGGCATGCCTGCCTTCTTTAGCAATCAATCTTCTGCAAATCATGAGATACCTATATATGCTTTTGTCAAACACAGGCAATCATTATACACCCCTTCTTGCATCAATTTGATCTGCCAACTTCCACTTCCTGTATTATACATGTATACTAGAGCTGTATTTAGGGGGCAGTAGTGCCTGGTGGGAAAAGCATATGCTTTTTAGCCAGAGTGGGTGGGTTTAAGTTCAGGCTTTTTTGCTTGAATGACCCTGACACCCTGTAGTGTTGATACTCTCAGAGCCACGTGGACCTCATCTGTAAAGTGGTCATGAAAGTTAATGCTGGTCTTATCTACACTGAGTATCACAAGATCATGAATGAAAAAGTGCTTCTACCTTGCCAAACACTGGGGAAGTGGCCTGCAGCTGAATATCATTGGGAGGGGGCACGGTGTTAAGTTCTAGAATTAGACTGGGTTGGAATTCTGGCTCTAACTAGTAGCTCTGGAGTTTCAGTGTCTCTAGTTTCTTTATCTAGAGAATGAGGGATCACGACAGAACCTACCCCAGAGAGCTTTTGTGAGGATTAATTGAAATGTTTAGCACCAGCCCATACAGAAAAAGAGCCCAATAAATGTTAACTGTTATTATCATTACTCTTAGTCTATCTTCCCACCAGACTGTGAACAGGGACACCACTGATTCATCTTATATTCCTAGTACCCATGAAAATGCTCCTGAGGTCTGCTGAATTCAGGAATGATGGAAGGAGTGGATGAATGAATACATTTAACCTGGTTCAAAGCCCTTCCAGATTATCTCAGCAGAGTCTTCTTAGAGCCTGGCTGCACTCAGTGTTTTCATTATTGTTTTACTGCTTTGATTTTGGTAAACTTTATTTCTGAGGATTCACCCTTGGATTGGTATGGGCTCTCACATCAGATTGAAGTAGATCGAGTCTCACCTCCACTTTCTAACTGTAGGACTTGAAGTATTTTACAACCCTTTCTGAATCTCCACGTCCTCACGTATAAAATAGGGCTAAACCCACCTACCTCTTGGGGTTGCCGAGCTTATTAGATATACATGAAAGAGCCTGGCACACACAGAGGGTGATCAGTAAAAGGTGGTGGTGTTTCTCATTTTACTTACCGTGAAGGTGCTAGTTCAGGTTGACCCTACTTTGAATATTAGCTGGATCTCTGAACTTTGTTATGGAAATAATTACTTTCACTACAACATGCATTTGCCAGGGACTTCCACTGTGCCTCCATGGGGCATGACCATTACTGCTTCTTGCTGCCTGCCTGAGTGGTACCTTGGGCCTGTGCACTGACCCTGGGGGCATGTTCTTGGTGTCCTCAGCAGCCCCACTGGTCTTCAGGAAAGATTGGAGGGTAGCTGTGGCAGGTGTAAAGCCAGCCACATCATGCTCCCAGCCTGCAGATCCCTGTTTTTGAAGATGGCCATAAGCATGACTTCAGAGCTCCACAGATGGGAGCTCCACGTCCTGTTTATTTGTGTGTGACTGTGACTAACGTAGCCTCTCTGAGCCTCAGTTTCTTTATCTGTAAAATGAGGACAACACAAGATCACGTTTGCAAAGGGAAGCATGAAAGGGTCATGACGATGATGGATTACATCAAGTGGCATGTGACTAAGGCCTTGCCCACAACACAAGGAAAAGGTGAGTGACATATGTTATCAAGTGTCCTAAAGGCATGGAAGTTGACCTAGATTTAAAAAATTAGAATAAAAAGAAACAATCTTATAGGGAAAGAAGGAATCCTTAATACGCTCCACAGTGAATTTCCATTATAGCGATGTTTGTTACTATGCCACTATGATGCGGATTCACTATGGACATTATCAAGAGGAAACTAAATGGAGCAAAGGATGGGTGGATTTCTACCATGCTTCTAAAACCACCTGACTTTACAATCATAACTGGATTTTCAGTCTTACAAATCCTCAATTTTGATACTTTTCAGAAAGTGTTAGTAATCAAACACAAATGCAGTTGGTACATTTTGGAGATGAAACTCACTCCAAATAATAATTTTAAAAATCTTAATCAGCATTTTATAAAACTGTGTTGACTGTAACAGTGATTCTCAATTTTGGTTGCACAAAATACATACGGGAACTTTTATGAAAATAGCAATGTTTAGAGCCCATCCCTGACAAATCAAGATCTCTGGGGTGGGTGGGAGGAGGTGAGCATTTGGAAAAGCTTATTAAGTGATTCCTGCAGCTAGAGTTGAGACCACTGGTTTGGATGCATCTTGGCACTGATCATAAACTTAATTCATATACTTGGCAGCTGAAGCTGTTGGCTAGCCATATATTAGAATAACCCGGTAGCTTTTAAAAATCCTGATGCCCCAACCCAGACCAAAGACATGCTAGTCTCTGGGGTGAGATCCAGACATGGGTACTTTTAAAAGCTCCCTGGGTGATTCCAGTGTGCAGGCCAACACCAAGAAACACAGGAATAAAGGAGATATAAAACAAAAAAAGTTAAAAACAGGCTGGGTGTGGTGGCTCATGCCTGTAATCCCAGCACTTTGGGAGGCTGAGGTGGGTGGATCGCCTGAGGTTGGAGTTGGAGACCAACCTGGCCAACATGGTGAACCCCCACCTCTACTAAAAATACAAAAAACTAGCTGGGCGTGGTGGTGTGTGCCTGTAATCCCAGCTACTTGGGAGGCTGAGGCAGGAGAATTGCTAGAACCCGGGAGGCGGAGGTTGCAGTGAGCCGAGATCGTGCCACTACACTCCAGCCTGAGCAACAGAGCTTAATTCATAAACTTGGCAGCTGAAGCGGTGGGCTAGCCTGTATTGGAATCACCATGGAGCTTTTTTTTGAGACCCTATCTCAAAAAAAAATAAAAAATAAAAAATAAAAAGAAAATGAATGCGTTCAGTACAATCTTAGCTCACTCCTGTATTTTGCAGTCAAAGCACAAGTAATCATAAATAGTACTATGGTCAACTTCTATTTATCCATGAATGGCTTATCTGTTTTGAGGACAAATTATGGGCCAGCATTAGGGATTCAGGGAAGGTAGCTAACATTATTAAGTGCCTACCATAAACCAGGTGTTTTGCCTACATCATCTCATTTAATTCACACAGAATCCTAGTGAAGTGGGTGATGTCATTTCCATTTTATTAGGTGAGAAATTGAGACTCAGCGAGGCTAAATCACGTAAGTCATTCCGCTAGTAAATTTGGCTCTAAAACCTGTGTCCTAGGCTACAGTGCTTCTCACTGGGTGGAGATGAAAGCGTCTGTTTCTGCCTACATATTCAAGCTAAACTACTTGTTGGATGATCTATCTATTCTCTTGCTTCTAATGAGAAATGACTGCATGACTCATTCTAAAAGGATGATCTAGGTGTCAATTTATTCCTTATATAATTTTCAATATATGGGTCTTTGTTTATACTAATGGGTAGTTTAAAAAAATAAAGAAGAGCATGTGTCATAACAATTATTTTATAATGGCTCTCCTTTTAATTTGGCAACAGGTTCTGAAGCAACACTGTAACTGCTGAATGCTTCTGGCTGCTTCTTTCCCCAGTAAAAGGTAAGTAATAAGAACCAGGATATAAAAACTAAATGATTACCTCTACTAAAAAGGTAAACCTTTTTCTCCCAAGTGATTTTGAAGACAAGAAAAAATGAAAACTAAAACACATTATGAACAGGCCTGTCAATCATTCCACCTTGTCCCTTGTGCCTCCCATTTCCTGCCGATCCTAGTGGTTCTAAATAGACAAAAGACACAGCAATTTGCAATCCCTTCCAGCAGAGCTGGTTGTCATTAGTGATGAGGCAGGCCATCCTCACAATCCCAACAGCCAGGAGAGGTGGGACTTCCTGCTTCTCTGGCAATTCCCCTTAAAGTTTGCAGACACAAGCTAGTGACCCACTGCCCTAACATTCAGGGCTGGCTTGGGGTTTTAAACAGTTTGATTACATATGCTGAATACAAATAGAAATTCCAGAAGAAAAAATAATCCAGAGTAACTGTTTCTAGATTTACAGTCTTTTTTTCTATTTCACATAAAAGTCTGGGTTTACATAACCCAGGAATTGTACAATTAAAAAAGACAGCTTATTCTAAAGATGTAGTTTTCAGCCTAGACTATGATAAAAATAACAAAAGGTCCCACCTACTGAATATTATTATGTAGTTCTGGGTCAGGAAAGTTATTTACATTTAAAAAACCCTCATTAGGTTTTGCTGTCTCCATTTTGCAAGTGAGAAATACATCTCAGAGACGTCAAATCACTTGCTTAAAGTCACACAGCTACTAAGTGGTGGCGCTAGACCCCAGTGCTACAGTCATCTGACATAAGGTTGGGTGTTTCTACAAAGTGCTTTTGAAAGGATAGTGTTTTGTAATTTTTCTGCTCAGGGACCCCTCTGAGAATGTGAATCTGTTGGTCTCTCTCCTGCTAAGTAGAAACTGCTTCTTGGATATTTGCTGAGAAGGCCTGGCAGAAACCCAGCCCCACAATCTGCCCTACCTTTCACCCCGCAGGCTCTGCAGACATCTCCCGTGACCCCTGGTCATCACACAGGAGAGTGACTACCATTACCTCAGCACCTTCACTGTCTCCATCCACTGTGTCTGCTCACTCTCCCAGGGGTCCACCCGGATCCAGTCGGATGTCTGCAGGGCCAGCCGGGCCATTGCCACTCGGTGATGAGAAGCTGCGAGGTCTTTCTTCCCATAGTTGTCGTTGACAGGAGAGATGATACCCTGGATGACCTGGTACATTCCTAGGTAAGAGAGAGAGCAGTGGTGTTGCACATACAGACAGATGCTCGCCACCTGGCAGCCTGAATTCAGGCAGGTGCTAAATATCTCCAGTGCCTCATCCTAAGTGGGAGTAGACTCTGGCATTCTCTCATGGGGGAGAAAGG